ACAGCTTTTCCTTTGTCTCCAATTTGGGTAACTTTCATGGTGTAGCTCATTCTCAGCCTTAATGGGGAAGGGGAAAAATAAAGGTTTTATAAATCCTCTGGTCTCTTTTAAAAAACAGCAACCAAAATGGGTTTGAGCAGAATTCTCAAAAGCAAAAACTTTCCCTTCGAACAAAAATAAATGGTGAGCTAAAACCGTAAAAGGGGATTTAAAAAATTCTTTCACCGTTGGCGTAGCCCTCCTTCGGCTTCGCTTCCCAACTTTCATGTTTCTACTAAAAAAATATTTTGGCCCCGGTACATTTAAAAAAAAAGTGCATTTTCTGTTTTTGAGGAAATTTTTTTTAGGGAAACAGCGTTTTCCTATGCCCGAACAAGTCAGCTAAAAAGCTTAAACCATAAATGGGAAAATTAAAGAAATTTTCCCTTTAATTTTTAGTGCTAGAAGGTTCTGAAGTTTTGTATACCCAAATTTCATGTTAGTACACCCTAAAAAGTTAAAAAAGGGGGGGGAGCGGTACGAAAATAGTAAAGTTTTGGATTTTGTCTGTGATTTTTGGAAAAAACTCTTATTGGATTTCTTTTGGGGGGAAAAATGGACTTTTTGTGGTCCCGGGTCAAACCCGTGGAAAAAAATAAAAGCCACACAAATGAGGGTTAAAATTTTTTTTAATCCGAAAAAAATCCCCAAATTTTTTTGTAAAATTTATTTCAATTGATTTAAAAAAAGAGGGGGGTGAGAAGAAAAATTTTTTCGGAAAAAACCCGAACAGCCAAAAGCTAGACACGCACCTAAACAGTTCAAAAAAAATTTCCCTCCATTTGATTCCATTATAAATCGAAAATCTTAAAAATTTTTTTTAAAGTTTGAAAACTTCACTGAAGCAAAACTGTAAAAGTTAGCAGGGAAAACCGAGATTTTTTTCAGTAAAAGCCGAAAGATACCCGGGAAAAATTTTAAAAGTTGAATGGGGGTTTCTAGCTGAAAATATGCTGAAGTAGTTTTTTAAAGGGCAAAGATGATGAAGGGTTTTGCCCGAATTTTTCCCGAAATCTAAGAATTCTACATGCATTTTTAATGGGGCAAAAAAAAAAAGCAGAAAAAAACTGAAAACCCCGGGAAAAATAACCAAAAAAATCTTACCAAAAGACTAGCAGAATTTTCCTGAAGGAGCTGAACGTTTTTATAACCAAAAATTTTTGAAAAATCGGGTTTTAAAAATTTCGGGATAGTTAGAGTCAGAAAAAAATTTAAAATGAACCCAAAAATAAGTGGGAATGCCCTAAGCATTCCCAAATTGATAATAATAATTTAAAAAGAAAAAGAAAAAAAAATAAGTGGGAATGCAAACAATTTCCCCCTTGATGAAAAAAAAACTTTATTTTTATACCAGAAGGGAAATTAAAGTTTTAAAAAACCAAAACCCCTTTTTTTTTCAAAACAACAAAAACAATATTGTCTCTAACACCTGGTTCCCTTTTAAACCTTCCCCAAAAACTTTTATCCACCCCCGTATGAACAAAAATGTCCCGTCTAAAATTTAGTGCCACCTCAGGTTTACGTTTCCCCCATACCCCTGGTGGGGTACATTTCTTGTACTCCCAACCCAAATATTTTATAAAGGAATAAATTTCTTGGGGTGAGAACAAAACATCTTCCCACTCACACGGTTTTCTCCATTGCCCCTATTTTATGCTTTTTCTTGAGAACTCCTTGACAATTGTTCTGTTTTTTTTGGGGGTCTAATGAAAAAATTGGGTGTCCCCATCCAACAAAAAAGGGCAACCCAGAAACCCGCAACCATGGATAAAATCAACTGCAATCATTGTGGGAAAGCCCGTTTTCCCCTTTTTGGAGGTGACCCCGATGTTTATAACATCACATTCTTCCCAAATTTTTGGCAACATAAAAGTTTTTTGATAATAATAACTGATAGCTTTTTACACCCAAACCTTTTACCTCTTTGATACTGAATTGCCAAAATTTTTTTATATCCCAGGGTTTGATAAGGGAAATGGGGAAAAACACTTTCTTTATCACATCTGTGGTGGCACGCTGGGAGGGAAAATGGACAGGGAAATTTAAAAGTGTGCATGCTGACCTTTTCGTCAGAGGAAAGAGGCGAAAGGGGGGGGTTTAAAAGAGACTCTTACGCTTTTAAAGCCCCGGGAAAAACTTTGGGCCCCGGACAAAGGACTCTTTAAAGAAATTTGGCAAATCCCCCCCTTTTCAAACATACGGTAAATAAAAACCGGGGGAAAGCAAAATAATAATGAGAAATTCAAAATTTTTTTAAAATGTAGTTTAACTTTTTCAAAAATTATTTTTCTCAGGGGAAACTTGAAGTATTCCCCTGCATCTAAAGTGAAATACACAGGAAGAGGGCTGCCTTCCCCTATTTAACAATGAAAGCTCGCACCCCGCTTGCCGTTATGGGCCACAAAGAAAATGTTCAGCGGAACAGGCCTAAAAACCAAAACAGGGAACAAGAAAAAAATTTAAAACAAAAAAAAACCCAAAAACCCTTTTGCCTTTTTTCATTTTCCCTTACTCCCTTTTTTGTCCTCAAAATGAGCTGTATTTAAAAAAAAAGCAAACATTACCTTTAACCTTTAATTTGGGGGCCGCCCCCTGTTTTAAATGAGGCTGCGCACTAAACGCATAAAAAATATGGTACTTTTTTATGGTTAATTCTCACCACCCAAAAAAATTACAAGTACCCAGATTTCTAAATTTTTTGGATACAATTTCCTTGGGTTTCCTTTTTTTTAAACCCAAAAAACCCAAACTTTTGAATGCTTTATACAGGTGCTGGGGCATAAAATTAGAATATCATGAAAAAATAGATTGATTTTTAGTAATTCCATTTAAAAAATGAAACTTGTATATTATATTTTATACATGACCCTACCAAAATCATAAAATTTCAGATGTTTATTTTGTTTAATTTTGATGATTACAAATGACAACAAATGAAAATCTCAAATTCATCATATCAGAAAATTAGAATATTACTGAAGACCAATAAAAACAAAGGATTTATAGAAATGTTGGCCAACTGAAAAGTATGAACATGAAAAGTATGAGCATGTACAGCACTCAGTATTTAGTTGGGCCTCCTTTGGCCTGTATTACTGCAGCAATGCGGCATGGCATGGAGTCGATCAGTCTGTGGCACTGCTCAGGTGTTATGATAGCCCAGGTTGCTCTAATAGTGGCTTTTAGCTCTTCTGAATTGTTGGGTCTGGTGTATTGCATCTTCTTCTTCACAATACCCCATAGATTTTCTATGGGGTTAAGGTCAGGAGAGTTTGCTGGCCAATTAAGAACAGGGATACCATGGTCCTTCAACCAGGTACTGGTAGCTTTGGCACTGTGTGCAGGTGCCAAGTCCTGTTGGAAAATGAAATCTGCATCTCCAAAAAGTTGGTCAGCTGCAGGAAGCATGAAGTGCTCTAAAACTTCCTGGTATGTGGCTGCGTTGACCCTGGACCTCAGAAAACACAATGGACCAACACCAGCAGATGACATGGCACCCCAAACCATCACTGACTGTGGAAACTTTACACTGGACTTCAAGCAACGTGGATGAAGTGCCTCTCTTCTTTTCCTCCAGACTCTGGGACCTTGATTTCCAAAGGAAATGCAAAATTTACTTTCATCAGAGAACATGACTTTGGACCACTCACCAGCAGTCCAGTCCTGTTTCTCTTTAGCCCAGGCAAGACGCTTCTGACGCTGTCTGTGGTTCAAGAGTGGCTTGACACAAGGAATGCGACAGCAGAAACCCATGTCTTTCATACGTCTGTGTGTGGTGGTTCTTGAAGCACTCACTCCAGCTGCAGTCCACTCTTTGTGAATCTCCCCCACATTTTTGAATGGGTTTTGTTTCACAATCCTCTCCAGGGTGCGGTTATCTCTCTTGCTTGTACACTTTTTTCGACCACATCTTTTCCTTCCCTTCGCCTCTCTATTAATGTGCTTGGACACTGAGCTCTGTGAACAGCCAGCCTCTTTAGCGATGACCTTTTGTGTCTTGCCCTCCTTGTGCAAGGTGTCGATGGTCGTCTTTTGGACAACTGTCAAGTCAGCAGTCTTCCCCATGATTGTGTAGCCTATAGAACTAGACTGAAAGACCATTTAAAGGCTTTTGCAGGTGGTTTGAGTTAATTAGCTGATTAGAGTGTGGCACCAGGGGCCATCAATTTTGAACCTTTTCACAATATTCTAATTTTCTGATATGATGAATTTGAGATTTTCATTTGTTGTCATTTGTAATCATCAAAATTAAACAAAATAAACATCTGAAATATATGAGTTTGTATGTAATGTATGAATATAATATACAAGTTTCACTTTTTAAATGGAATTACTGAAATCAATCTACTTTTTCATGATATTCTAATTTTATGACCAGCACCTGTAATAGCTATGTTATTTCATTAATGTTTCCTCTGCCTTACATTTTCTTCTTTGTTTTTTAGGACAAGCACGGTTCAATGTGGTTTACCCAAAACAAACAAAAGAATGGGTCGCCAAAAAGATCTATGTTCCAACAACACAAACATTCCGGCAAAATCTGGTGGTGCAAGTTGTGCGGAGACGCCTGGACCCCAACATCAAGATCAAAGACCCCCAGTCATATGTTTCTATCCCTCCCATACCAGAAAACATTGCTCAGAAACCAAAGCCTGCCAAAGAGGAAGCCATACAAAAACATACTTCCCGATACAGCAGTTAGTCTGAGTGGTGCAGTATTTTTACTCTTGCCTTTTTATATTTGTAATTATGCAAATAAAAAGTCTAGCTGGTGGCATGTAATTTTAACCTTCTTTTTTTTTTCAAAATTCTGGGATACAGAGTCTGATAAGGGGTTTACTTAATATAGTTATAACATGACATTTTGAAATAAAATGGCATGTGTTTGTGGTTGGCTTGTCTGCATTTCACACTTAGGTCTAGAATAAATATTTAATCAAAGGAACAGAGTTACATTTTTCTTACCATCCAAAGTCATTTTGTTTATTTCCAAAACAACACAATAGTACAGGAAAGGTTACAGTTATCGGCTACATAAATTCTGAAATGATATCTATAATGAGGCAGTATAGGTTTGTGATTTGGGAAAAAATATGAAATACAATGAAGAAGTACAAATTAATATGGAAGAGTCTCTTAGGATTTGTTTATAGTCTTTACAACTGTTCAAAAGCTGCCTCTGCCTCCTTGAAACCAGTATACACTCCATCTGGTGAAGGGTAGCTGGAACGGATGCTTGTAACAATACAGGCAGGTAAAACTCTTCTGCTGTCCTTGCCAAGTCTCTCGCCTTTCAGAATCCACTCGAGTACCACACGGTAGGCCACCAACCTGTACTGACTGGTGGGGGGGGGGGGGGGGGGGGGGGGGGGGGATGGATGGAGCCATTATTTTAGCAATACAAGTGAAAAAGAAAGCAGTATCTCATCCAGCACACAACCTGGGTAAGATGCTGAGTAAACAGACTTTAGTACTAGCATCACATACAAAAAACTACACAGTGAGTACCATTAACATTATGTATATATATCATATATATATATAACATATATATATGATATATATATCATATATATGATATATATATCATATATATGATATATATATCATATATATGATATATATATCATATATATGATATATATATGATATATATATATATATATATATATGATATATATATGATATATATATATATATATATATATATATATATATATATATATATATATATGATATATATATATATATATATCATATATATATATGTTATATATATATATATATGTGAGATATATATGATATATATATATGTGATATATATATATATCATATATATGATATATATATGATATATATATATATATATAAATATATATATCATATATATATATATATGTATATCATATATATATATATGTGATATATGTATATCATATATATATATATGTGATATATATATATATATCATATATATATATGTTATATATATATATATGTGATATATATATGATATATATATATATATATATCATATATATCATATATATATCATATATATGATATATATATGATATATATAATAACATTATTAGCAAGGCATAGGCCTGTTGCACAAAACTTACTCTGCAGAGAGCGTGTTGTTTGGTCCTGCGGGTCTTGGCCTCTTTTTCCAATTGATTTTGGGCACATGGAAAAACATCTCCAGAACGCCACGGGTCAGTAATGGTGGATAATCCGTGTTTTGGGTGACACAAAGTCTTTGGCTAGTGCTCTCGGTCTCATCAGTGGAGATATTTAGATCCTCCAGTGGTGGCATCAACAAGTCCCAGTCCACACAGCAAATGCTCTCCTCTTCTGTTGGCATTGCTTGACAATTTCCACATTTACACCACCATGTTTCTGACGCTCTACATCTGTAGCACAACGGTGTTTGCGGCTCAGCTTGAGCTGCGGCTGCCTCATCCATGTCTCTAAGTTCGTCATCTGTGTATTCTGGTTCATAGAGAAAAGGCTCGGCAAAGAACTCATGCTCTTCCTCAACACTGAAGTCCTCAGACATTTTTCTTTCGTTGTTTCTTTCTTTGCACAGGTAAACAGCACATTTCTTCTTCTACGCTTGCATTATCGGCAGAGCAGACGCTGAATGCGCACTTTCTTCCGGTTTGGTCTGCCGCGGTTTCCGTAGAATCGAGAGCGCGCATGGGGGCGCTATTAGCAAATCCTATACACTACTGTTTAGGCTCTAAAACGTTCTAAATGACTTCGTTTCGAGTAAATTATGGATGCTACCCACTCAGGACACTTGGATTACATTGGACGAGCAGTATGGAGGAATATTGACACGTTTTTGTGGACTTTTTTGGACCTTTCTGTCTCGGGCGCCATAGACCTCCATTATTTGAATGTCAGCAGACAGCAAGAAGCCTCCCAGATCTCCAGATGCATTTGAGATATCAAAAAAGTACTCCAGAGTTTTGTTCAGCATGGGGGTGAGTAGAAAATGAAGGCTAATCATGTTTTGGGTGTACTATTCCTTTAAGCAGAACAGTAGAAGGATGCCTCAGCACTGCAGCGGAGTTTAGTTTAAATCAACAGACTGTTGACATCAGGGCTGGAGGGAGAACTTCATGAAGGCATCAGAGCTTTGGAAGACATTACTAAATAAACAGCAGATATACACTACATAGAATAGAAACTCCCTTTGTTGGCCCACTGTGGGGAAATAGTGGAGTTACAGCAGCAACAGATTACACATCAGTTTATAAATAAAGTTTATAAAAAATAATAGAATAAGTGACAGAGTTAAAATAAATATCCAATTTTATTTGTTAACCAATTAAAAACAGCCACAGCTGAACAAAGGGCTGTAAAGAAGAAAAAAAGAAAAACACGAAATGGTATGAACAAATATAAAAAAAAATACTGTAGTTTACAGTGTTCTGTTATGTTAAAGTGAGGAGGATTTGTCCCCTTGGAAGTAAAGGCTGTAGCGCCCCGGGGGCCTCTTCACCGGTTCTTTTCCTGGGAGCAAGTTATTTACTACTCTTAACTCAAACTCGTTAAAACCATATAAAAACAGGAGTAAAAAAGTAACAGAGTTTATTCCAGATCAGGTCGTTACAGGACAGAGAAAAAATGCTTCGAGCTATGCACAGCTGTGGTCTCAAAAATCACGTCCGCAAGCGTCCGGCAAAGTTTGAGCCCCGAACAACGTCATCTCCTGCTTCTTATACCTTCTGAGTCTGTGTTGCATCATGTGGATGCTTAGCTGTCCGTATCAGAAACTGACACGCCATCCATGTCTTGAACTCCATGCAGGTTGCCTCTCTGTCTCAGGGTTACATATACAGTAGCTCTCCTATCAGACCGGCTCCAAGATGTGCCCATATCCTGTGTACTCTTACAGACACGAAGGCTGTCTTGATTAGATGACCTCCGTACACACCGTGACATCCACAATGTGAAGGAAGGCCTTCTGCTCTGTCTAATCTGACTAACAAAATGACAGTGCACATGATGTATAAATAATAAAACCTAACAACTCCCCCTGATAAGTTACCGTTATTACAGGTAACTTAAAAACACAAGAAGCGACACATCTCCGAAGGACCGGGTGACTCAGAGAGCATCTAGAATGATATATATCATTAATTAGGGATCAAAAGTAATCACAATCAAAATTTCACAGACCAAATGTTCTCACTCAAGACCAGTTTCAGCATTTAACTACAATTTGGGTGTCATCTAATTAAAGGAAAGCTGTTTTAGTTTCCTATGCGCACATTATTTTAAGTTACCTTAGATTAGATAACCTAAGCCTATAAATCTCATAAGGCCAAATTAATCTACTCTCACTCCCACCTGGAGGCCTCCTAAACAGTGATGGGACTAACGGCTTTGAAAGTACCTTGTTTTAGTAACGAGTAATCTAACTAATTACTTTGACTGTAACTATAACGCTGTTACCATTGCCGACACCCCCTTTACTGTGCGTTATTCAGGTCGCACAATGAACCTTCTTTCATGATAGGACTCGTGCGCAGCTGCGTGAAGCTGACACCCCACCCACATCAAAAAACTCTGCAAATAGACTGAATGGTTAGTGCAACGTTTGTGCAGAAAAAAAATATTGTTTGCTACTTTTGTTTAAGAGATATTAAAGATTATTTTTTAGGTCATCCAGAGGTGCGCGCCTTGTCATGAGAGAGGGGAGGATGAGAATGGCTGATGTATAGTGAGATTCCGTCTGTCAGTTGGGTAGGTGGGTGTTTCTGCTGGCGGGTGTTAACGTACAGCACACACAGAGAGATGGAGAGTGAGGAGGACTCCTGCAGCAACACAGCATTTTCCTGATGGAAATACTGGTGTTACGTCGAGCTGCGTTTCCCCATCAGATACGGTTTCCCCTGCATCTCCGCACAGTGCAGGCGGCACGAGTCACCGCACAAGCGACAGGAAACGCGCATGCTCGCTAAAGGCGCGCAACAGTCGCCCTGTGCTCGCGCCACAGGAGAACTATGGAGAGCGTGAACGATCAAATGATAGCCTAAATGGAGAAAGGGAGATGGATGGATGGATGGATACTCTGCCTTTTCAACCTACTGTATTTTTTATTTTAAACATTATTTGATGGCCTTTGTGGCAGGGATGGAGATCCATATTTTATGTCACACACAGAGTATACATCTAGATAGATAGATGGATAGATAGATGTTGCAGTACCTATAACAACCCAAACACAGGATTTCAGAATTAGACATCCCCAGTTATTAATTTCATATACACACCAGATCTGAATGCCCTGTTAAAAAACTTCACATGGCGTTCCCCTCTGATTTCATTTACGCTGAGTTGCAATAAATGCTAAACTCTCTGCAGGTTCTTGTCTTTGTCGTCCGCTCTATTCAGCTGGCTTTGAAACACACGGCGAGAAGGTGGGGGCTGGGTGGTGAGGGTTACTGGGGCGAGAAACGCAAAAGTAATGCAATAGTTACTTTTACTAGTAACTCATTACTTTTATTGTGGGGTAACTCAGTTAGTAACTCAGTTACTTTTTGGGAGAAGTAACTAGTAACTATAACTAATTACTTTTTCAAAGTAACATGCCCAACACTGCTCCTAAATGTGACCGCTCATCATGGATAAACCACCTATCCAACTTTACCAATCATTCAGTCACAGTAGCGGACATCACAGGACAGGTTGGGCCGTTCTCCACCGGAAAACCCTACCCTCTCTAAAAGGTAGTAAAAACCGGGGTGACCCCACTCTCGGCCAATCTGAGCAAGAAAACCCCGTTTTGAATCTGATAATTATCATTATCAACTACTTAAAGAACCTGTAAGCCAATCAGGTTCAGGGTCTTTCTACATCAAAGAAAAAGTGGCATAAAACTTGATCTTGGTGGGTCTGGAGCAAAATATTTCCATGATTTTCATCAAAACAAAATCAAAATAAATCAAAACATAGACATCACAATTAGATAAAAGTCAAGAATTATCCTGGTCCGAGTTAAAAACAAATGATGAATATCACTGATGATGATCAATTCTTTCAGTGTCTCTATCACTCATCAATCTAATTGACCAATCAGAGTCTCGTATGGTCTCCTCTACAGCCCCTTTGGTCTCCATGCTGTCCAATGGCAGACAGATGCTGAATCCATGTGGTGGTTCTCATGGACTGTTCTCATCACAGTTCATCAATCCTTTCCTCCGGGATCTTTCGACACACAGAGAGTGCAGTCAGTGTTCTTATCACGATAAACAATGTCTTCAATGAGCAATTCTTTATTCACTCAGAATCTAAGTGCAGTCACAACCAGATATTCTTATCCACAATTACCTTCCCTTTATCCCTTAAATCACCATTAAATTGACTACATTTAAATTAATTATCCGTGGACTCTGTGTTTTTTCAGCGGATTATTTCAGTGTCTATTAAAAAAAAATAAATAAATAAAAAAATAAATGAATAAAAAAAAAAAAAAAAAAAAAAGAAATCCCCAAAAACATTAAACATAACCTACCTTTCAATGCCTGGCAGTTGAAAGTTATTTATACCAGTATGTACTCAGCCTGAACATCCTATGGATGTTTCTGCTCATAATTTTTTTGTTCATATAAGCTCAAAATCACTGCAACTAATATAATCTAATTCAAGGAACCTGTAAATATTTAGAAAACATTTAACCCTTTATTACACATTGTAACACTCAATTCATGGATTAAATACATTTTTAAAACTATTTCTACATCATAGCAGATTAAGTTTTAGTTTCGTCTAAACTTATAACTGCATTTTAGTTTACTTCTATCCCCTCCCCATTGAAAATGATTAAAGTTCTTTAATCTCTAAGAAAAACCCAGCTTGGCGCAGATTCCCCCTATTAAAAACTCCCCTATCAGACCTTGTATCCGTGAATGTTAGTGCATGAAAGAAAACCTCATTCCCATGTGGACCCTTGTGTGTTCTTCGAGTCATTAACAGTGTGTGGGTCTGTTGTTACGTGACAGTATGTGTGTGTGTGTCTATGTGAGTGGATCTATATGTGGGAAACTGGTCAGGAGCCATCCCGCTACTGGTTTGGAAGAAAAAGTGTTTCTTGGAGCAGTGATCCTCTCCAACATGCAAAAAAGTTTGATGTTCAAGTCCATCAGGTTTCCCTCTGTTACCACAGCAGCTTTGAACCATAAGAGTCTTGGGGCCATGTGTCCCCACACCCCCTGAAGGATAAGACTTTACCTGTGTCATCAGCAGTATCATATAGAGGTAGAAGGAAACAGAGCATCAAAGATGTTACTCCCTTCAAGAGGAAATGTCATATTGAAATGTTCATCTGCTCAGAGCACAGGATTGTACTCTAACTTGCTGCTGCATTCCCAAAACTCTGCAGTACACAGTTCCTGAAGGTGTTGAATTCGACTGCACCCCCTCTATGCAAAGTGTCCAGCTATAGTCCATTTAAAATATTCTCCAAAAAAAAGCAGTGCTCCGATGAGAAAAACAAAACAAAACAAAGAACTAAATAAAAAAAAATAAAAAAAGAAAATCTGTTCCAACATCCCCAGAACCAGTCAATAGTTGTCATATCTGGACCCCTGACCAGATCCAAAAATGTGCAGGAAACATAATCTC